CGATGTTAACTTCAAGTCCCTTTTCGTAATCTCAGTTGTTTTATATGTTGTCTAATTCAGTATGTTGTCTAATTCAGTACATTGTCTAATTCAGTATGTTGTCTAATTCAGTATGTTGTCTAATTCAGTATGTTGTCTAATTCAGCATGTTGTCTAATTCAGTACGTTGTCTAATTCAGTACATTGTCTAATTCAGTACATTGTCTAATTCAGTATGTTGTCTAATTCAGTACGTTGTCTAATTCGGTATGTTGTCTAATTCAGTATGTTGTCTAATTAGTATGTTGTCTAATTCGGTATGTTGTCTAATTCCGTATGTTGTCTAATCTGGCCAATTTCTTTGGAATCAATAGTGGTGGATTAGTCAAGATTTACTATAATTCAATTATTTATTCAATTAAATATTGATTTGTCACCTTCTTTATTTACATATCCCCCTTTTAGCATGATTGGTATCAACTTGGTTATCAAATGAAGAATTTAAATACAGTCAAAAACATCTATATAGACTTTCCAAAAATTTAATCCCAATTTATATTTTTGACAACTTATTTAAATAACATATCATTAGAAATTTTTATCAATTTACAATTAAATCTGTTTCTTCTGAGTTTGACATGTTATTATCTTTGTCAGTGCTTTTCAATGTTACAAAGTCACAGTTGTTCAATAAAACCAAAATCATGCACCAGTCATACCTAGATGTTTAATCAATAAAATTTGCAAAGGAAGATGAAATTTCTCTGAAAAAAAATTTCTAATATACATGAAATTATTGATCAATTCATAATTTTAGAAATGCCATTAAGAACAGAAAAATACAGTCATTTCCCTGTGGTCTCAAAATGCTAAGCAGTCAATTCCAATGGATTTGATATTTATGACTGAATAATTCCTGCACATTATCTTCAGCTAACTCTTCTATCACCCAGGGCCTGGGAATCAACTTATTGATTTGGTCTTCAGCAAAAAAAAAAAACCTGATGCAGTTTGAATGTCATTCATTTTAATGGACTTTCCAAATTTGAGTCTGTGTGGGGTTTTCAAAAATCTGCTTGAGTACTTTCTTTTTTTAGACATTTCTTTCCATGAATAAAATTAAGATTGCGATTAAGTATTATTGAAATAGCTTTGGACCCTTACTTTGGCATGTTTGGAGCCCTTGTTTGAAATGAATTTAAACTTAAAATTGAGTCCATTTTTACTACCTGTCTGGTGACTTTGAGATGAAAGTTCATCTTGGTGAGAACTGATCTCAAAGACCTCAGATACTGAGCAATGAGATTTTGAAATTGAGTCAAGACTGTAAATTAGTAACGTTTTATTATATTTGAATCAGACTTTTTTGATTAATTTTTGTTATTTTGGAATGCATGGCCATCGCATTGCATTGTTTATCATTGTTTTCTTCTCAATTTACAAGTCAAGCCAACAATCCCCTGTAGAAATCTCACATTCTATACACAATGCTTGTAATCTGTTCATTAACTGATAGAAGAAAATTACAAGAAGCATCCAATGAAATACAAATCAAAAAAAAGCATCCAAAAAAACCGAGGAAATCAATTGATTTCCTTTGTAATCTTGGAGATTCAAACCTGTTGTGGATAGTAATTTGATTCTGAAAGCTGACTTTGGTTCATCAGAGGAAACCTGATAATGGAAACATAAAGCAAACGGAATCCCTGGTAAGCAGGCATAATCCATAAGAGTTCCTGCCTTTTTATACTTTCAGAAAACATATTGTGAATTACAATTCCAGATCATTGTATATCAAACTTTAAATTCAGAGTCAAAAGGTCCCTATATATGTACCCAATGGAAGGTTTCAAAACAAGTATTGCACAAGTGCAGTATGATTAAAGCCCCGGCACTACCGTTTCTACATTTATGGGCAAAGATAAAGTATTTGCAAAAGTTGGTCATATTCAAACTCAAAGGTCAAACTCAAAAAGGTCACAAATAATATAACTAAAGTTAAAGTATCCAAAAAGAATGTCAAAGTCCAAGGTCAAAAGGACAGAAGTAATGGATCTTCAGACATGATCTTTAAAATGAGGTAGGTTCCATAACTTATTAGTAAATGGAATGACATACAAACCTCACTTCTATTAATGTCTAGGGCCGAAGGTGTTTTGCATAGGCCACCATTTCAACTGGTGACATCTCCACAAGATTGAAAACTTCTTAAATGGGATGTATATGAGCACTTAATCAATAAATCATCATATTCTTTGCTCTCAAGAAAATCATAAGGCTTTCTCAAAGAATTTCTCTCCAGAGTCTCTCAGATTCCAGAACATCTGTACGGAATAATCAGAAGGTAAAATAAAACTCTGTCAATAAATCAATTGTTCCAGGAGCCTTCTCCTGCCAGACCATACCTCAGACAACAGACAGAGCTAAAGACTCAAAGAAACCCCTCCAACAAAATAGACTGTAGACATAGCTAAATACCCGAGGGAACCCCTCAAACAAAATAGACTGTAGACATAGCTAAATATCCAATGGAACCCCTCCAACAAAATAGACTGTATAGACAGAGCTAAATACCCGAGGGAACCCCTCCAACAAAATAGACTGTAGACAGAGCTAAATACCCAGGGGACCCCCTTCAACAAAGATGTCTAGTGAAGTAAGTAAGAGGAAAACAATCCACCTTAATTAACTGCCATTACAATACTGTACAGGGTCTCAAATAAGGAATTTTTTGTTTTCTGACTACTTTAAATACCATTCAATTGTAAGTTGAGAGAACTCTAGAGGATAAGATCGAAAGAAAAAAAAATAGTTTCACAAATACTGAGGAGATGGACAGTAAATATTGCATTGCCACCTCCTTTATATGTCACTGTCCCATGGTAGTATTATCAACATACAATCACAACTATGTAGGTATCAATATGTTCAATTCAGCCATCATCTATGAAAACCTGGGTTTTCACTATATATGGGAATGCTTATGCTTTAACTGTGTGCTCCTGTGGTTCTTGAGACACTCATAAAGAAAACAATCTCAGATATTCACATAACATGGGTGACTAGCCTTTCATCAAACCAAGCTTTTGTAACTTGCTTGATTGATAAGCAGTACGATATTGATCTTGTAGCAAGTCTATTATGTTTAAGGCATAAAGTTTAGGCTTTGAATTTGTCTTTCATTTGTTATTTTTGAAGATAATGAAAGTTTTAAATAAAACTTTGCCATAAAATGAACATGAAGATTTTTTTTCAATTTTCTGAAAAGCCAATACAGTTATGTCTCAAGTCTTCAATTGTCTGAGACCACTCCAAACCAACATCCAATAACGTCTATAATTAACGGTGTAACAGTATGTTAAATTGTTTTGAGACAAGTTCTTCCCAATAATCATGATTATAAATATCTGACAGAGTTTCTATAAAAAGTGCATTCTTGTTCAAGTGCAATTTAAAATTTATCAGAAAAACATTTGATATATCTCCTTCCAATGAAGTTAACAGGAATAGTGTGGTAACATGCTAAATTGTGTTTGTGCAGATGAATAAGCAGTTAAAAGAGGTTACGCATGTAATTATTTATATCCGGATCAAAGTGCTCTTTTGCGAGGGGATGTTTGGCACTGCAGTCCCTCATAATGTAATTGTAACATCAACAACATAATCAGACCACTGTTACAATAGGTGTTTACTGTACACAGGCAGTTTATGGACCAATATCATTTTGTGTGGTGCTGCTGCTGCACAAAATACACACTCGGAAATATAAAGCAGAATAAGAAATTACAAAACATTAACCATGATGGTGATGTAAATAATTAATGTTTCTAACTTTAACAAGGTCTTTTTCATTAACTCCTGCAGTTATTGATTTCTTTTTTATTACGCTGTCTTCAGTTAAGAAAACTCTTAATTCTAACAGTAAGCAAGTTTTTAAGATGCCATTTGGCTAAATCTGCAACATTCATCATCTTGATTCATTTTATCTATTTATGTATACATGTAAACTATACCGTTTTTTTAAATTATTTTTTTTCTTTTTTTAATTTATGCATGACTGTGTATAATTGTATTTGTTAAAGACTGAATCGGATATTGTCAGTATTCAAAGATTTTTTTTCAAAGTTAAAGAACTCACATTAATGTGTTTTTTATATGATGCCTCTTTTTTTAATAAACTGTCAATGTGATATATTATTTTTTGAAACTTTTGGAATCACAAAAAATAAGTAAAAAATTTCCCAAATTGCAAACATTTCTAGGTTAATGGGAAGCTAGCTGCATGCGTACGTGTTACAGATAAATTTCCATCAAATGTCATATCAGAAATGCTTAAGAATCAATAAAATATAAAATAAAATAACAACTTGTGTACACATTTCTACTTAAAGGTTTAGTGTATATACTTTCTTAATAATCCATCACAGTTACAGTAATTGTAAATTGAAAATAGCAATAGGATTCCTTAAACTCTAGATTAAGGGCCGTTTCTGGCCCTCATTTCACAGCTCTGAGAACAATACACTATTAGTTCATAATCAGTCATTATGCATGTACACAGATCGTCCAACTCTGAATTTCCATAATTCTATTGATTTTTCCTGTAAACTTCAGAAAACACAGAATCTATTTGCCAGCCTTCTATATGTTCTATGAGCAATTTATCTCTGTTTACTACTAATTAACTTCACCTTAACATAAACCAAAACTCAAACTGAAAGTTAGGCCTCCTTTATTTTAGTAATTTACACTGTGTAAAGCAAAGATATCATAAGGATTATAAAAAAATTCATAAAAAATTCAAAATAATTAAATTTAGAAAATTATTCTACATGGATTGTCTTTTGCTGTTAATCAGATACAACTGCATTAATGGCTGTTTCACTATATGTGCATTTTCGAAAATTGGCCCTACTGTTTCTTAAAGCTGCTTTGGATTCGTACCTTTTCACCACGTCTCTGAGAGACAACACAACTCTCTACAGCATACCACAGATCACCACAAACTACCACACACTTACCTTTTCGTGAGGTCTGGCCTCAGACAGACAACACAGCACGCCACAGATCACCACAAACATCCACCACTTCATTGTGAAAGCCGGTTCTGAAACCAACAGCAAAACAACACAGATATATAGCAATTAAACATAATGTATTTCATGTTAAATATATATTTTTTTAATTTTGAAAGCTTACTAGATTACAGAAATATTTACATTAATAGAAGGTGTCAACATTTTAACATCTAAATACATGTATACTCTTCATTAAATTTTTATCATAATATTACGTAATTCTTAATAGTTTGCAATCCAGTTAAAACTACATCTAATATAATGAAAAGTTCTGCAGAAACCGATATCATATGTTATGCATGCATTATTGCATTGTAATTTACAAAATATTAATTCTAAAACTCCTGAAATAATTGTTCTAATATTTTCAATAAATTTTGAACATCCATGATTGATGAAGCTGTAGGAGATATCAATAAATCCATAATCAGGTATATCGAAAGCCTGTATAAACAGCCAATATCAATTTCATCCTACAAGATGTAACAATTTAGCTTCATAAAAATTGGTCATAAAACATAATGCGCTCTAGATTTTCATACTTACCAACTTCTTAGAAAATACGCCAGACATGTATCTAAAATGAACAGAAATTTCCCATTAAACACCAACCACTTCTGAGCCAGCATCAATAATGCTAAAGCAAAAATATTTCAGCTCTGCAATGCAATATTGATTTCTTGAACTAACAAAGCTCTCATGCGAGAATAATCGAGGGGTTCTGACGTCCCATCAAAGGGCACGTCCCACGAACGCTGACCCAAATCACACCTCTCAACCTGAAGAGTGCTTCCTCCAACAGTCCTAACATACCGTAATTGAGGAAAGTCTTTTCATTTCCGAACACAGATTAAAATCACTGAATACTAAAGCTATTTTTTTTCCACATCAATCATTTTTGTAACAAAGCTGGCATTTACTGTGCTTTACGCCATTTGCCATCTTCCGTAATTTAATTGAAAAAACAGGCTGATTTTTTAATTGGTTTATTTACCTGCAGGATGAAGGTTTATAGCGGCATCATAATGGATACAAAAAGGTTTGGATCCAATTACTGTGGCCTTGAAAACAAGTAATCAGCGGAGCATGCCCCGATACCTGTGTAAGGTGGGCTGAGTTTTTTTGTATCTTATTACATCAAAATCTTAAAAACATAACTCCCTTTTTAATCTTATAAGGTATTTCATAATATAAGGCATATGCACTGAATCAATCTTGGTCTTGTCAAATTCATAGAAACTGATATTCCCAGGTCGTGATGTCGTATATATGATCTATTAAATTTTGTCCATGGCAATTATGAAAATTGTGTAACTGATATATTAAAATGCCCTTAAATCAGTCATATTTAATTCAAATCTAATATTGGTTTAATTTGAATTTTTATACCTAGTACATATATATTGTAATTTTTTTTTTGTACACATAATTGTTTTTGTTGAGACATCATCAGAAGTTTGGGATGAATATTCTGCATGACCTTTGCTCCATGTCACAGTGAAAGGAGAAAGGATCTAAGTGTTATTGATGTTATGACTAACCATGGCTAAAAAACATTTTATAACACATTTATTCCTTATTTCATGCATATATATGTATATTAAAATTTACCATGGACCTAAAAAAAAAATAAAACACATTTTTTATTTAAAAAAACAATACAATATTAAAAATGAATCAGTACTAGTATCAACCTCCTTATTTACTTTTTTAAAACAATAATATACAGCACTTGTACTTTATGATTGTTTAGGCTTAGAGAAAATTCTAAGTGTATGGATCTAATCTCAATCTATTTTAAGCCCAAATATTACGGTAAACCAGGAGTTATCTCTAAACATGTGAAATCTCAAGAGCAGACTGTGATAGCTACACTATTTCTGTCTCAAACAACAGATTTAGCCTGAAAAGGTCTTGAATGAATCTTACCCTCTCAAATCAATACAATAAGCTATACATATATTAGGTCTGCAATTCAACTAGACAAGGCTACCCCCGGTAATTCCTTTGGCCATCTTATATATTCATATAATTTTTTTATATATACATTGAATTAAATGTGGAAAATAGATTAAAAAAATATACATATGCAAGTTCTCTAAAATTTATGTTTTGTGTCCCTTCTCAATGAAAATTCATCCAGCTGTCTTTAAAAAATGGTTAATGCATCAGCATGACTACCAAATGGCTTAATAATCAACCCTTGGATCCAGCTCCTGAAATCAGGTAATAGATTCTAGCTGTCCCAGCTGAACATGTTGAAAATTTACTTTTTCAAAAAAAAAAAAGTTAGATAAAAATTTCAAAACAACACGCACATTGATTTTTTTTTTCTGTGCTTTTTATATTACATATTAAAACTTTAATTTCTAGACTTTAATGATAAAGATGAGAATAGAAAATTAGCCTTCAATGGCTTCATTCAATCTTTACTGAAAGACTTCCTTTACCGATAACATGTTTAACCTTACTATTCCACTCGGAGTTGAATCAAACAGTTATAACTCACCAGTTAGCCGTTTTTTTTCTTTTCTTCAAACGTGTCCTGGCATCAGCTTTATACTACTCTATATTATAATAAACATTCAAATTCTAAAACATGAAAAATCAAAAAGTCCGCGAAAGCAGTGAATGAAATAAAGGGCAGATAACCCAGTTATCCGGTGGCATAGTTTTTGGCTATAAGCATGTTCGGTCCTAGCATATTCGGGTTCCATCGTTCATGGATTGCGTATCTACAAAATATATACAGAGTTAACGAACATTATTCAAGCTCAAAAGTCTGGACCAAGATAAAAAACAGTATTCAATCTCTTAAAGGCAGAGATTTTTTACCGGCAGGTAAATTCCAGGTGAGGGAGGGGCTTATTTTGTACAGATGTGAATGTCTTAGGGGCTAGCAGTCTACCTGTGGTCATCTGTCTCCTAATCCCTATACACAGGAAGTGATTTAATACACAGTGAAATACCCCAGGTGTCAAACTTTACCTGTATTGGAGATTTTGAAGCAATTTTAAATTAGAAGTGAAAAGTTAAAAGTAAAGTTTTTTCTCAATAATCCATCTTTATTTATTTTTGAATGTTTGAAAACACCCTACCCATTCCAAAAATTATTATGATATCATAAAATAAATTCAAATCTTAAAAGTTTCAAATCTTAAAACATTTTAAGATTATTTTAGATGTCAGTGTATGTGTTAAAATAAATTTAAAAAACAAAACTCCAGTAATACCAAATTAGACTTGATTCACTCATCCCCGGGATCCCACTCTATTAGATAAAAAAGGTCTTGTTAACTATATTTCATCAAAAAATATAGTAGCTTTATCCTAATCTTAATAAGGCTTTGTCACCATGAAACATGCTAAAAAGATTGCTTGAAAATTCTCATCTGAATAACAAAGGAAAATAATTATAAGCGACCCATAATAAGAAACATTCATAAATATTTTTAAAATTTTATTACTTCACAAAGTGCTGCTCTAAACTTTTAAAGTCAGTTACATTTCCAGTTTAGGCTTACCGTTTAGCATATGTTAAAATTAATTTCAAAATTTCTTTTCTAAAAAAGTTTTAATGTACCAAAGTTGAATATTTTAAAAGTGTATATTACATTATAATCCTTTTAAATACTAGAGGTATATTTAATTCATATATCATCAAGATAAAAATTTTCATAGCGATACAGTTTCTCTATACCACGTCCGATAAACAAAGGCAGAGGATCAAAGGATCAAAAGTTAATTTGAAGGTCCCCACGAGTACCAAACAAGCTGTACAGGGTATACACAGGGACCAGTAAGTAAATGTCAATCAAGTCCCAGCATCCAATGATGGACCTTCATGCAATTGATTGACAGGGCTACCCAGACAAGGTATTTTCGAAGGCGGTGCTTAAAATCTCTGCCCATTCAAACTAACCAGGAGCAGAGCAAACACAAAACATCAGAGGTGGAATCAGGTGCCATGAAGGAGTGAGCATCCCCTGCTGACCGGTCATACCCGCCGTGTTATCCTTGTCATGATCGGGAAATAACCTAAAAATTCACCGACCATTCCAGTAACAATAAGTTTGAAAAACGTCAGTCAGCACTTGACTTAATGCCGGATAGGTTGTATTAATTTGATTCCAAGGTCATGTGAATTTTAGTTAAACATCAGTACGATTGCAAGTGTTGGAAATAATCTGATATATTTTCCCTAAGTACAGCTGGTCACTATATAAAATGAATGTTATGCTTTTAGTATCGGGCTTGGGGCCATAAAACTGAGATGATCTTTGATCTCAAAGGAATTAATAGTGGGAAAGTGAAACTGATTGAAAGCAATTTAAGTGTTGTTTTTTTCTTTTCTCTTTTCTTTTTTTCCCCCTAAGCCAAGTCCCCAATACTTCAAACAGAATTGCATTTGAAAATCATTTTACCGTACTTGCAATTAGCTGCAGAGCTGTAGCTCTCCGAAAAATATATATTGACAGACCGGACTGTTAATATCATTATTATTTTTCGGTTAAACGACAATTATGTTACAGTGTTTGTGATTTGTGTCTTGCAGAAAGTGAGATAGAAACGGTATAGAAGAAATGATAAGAGGGGAATAATGAAAGAAGATAGAAAAAGGAAGGGGGAGAGAAAGATAGCCTCCCTGGGCATTATAAATCCCCTCCGTAGATCTAATAGAAGAAAATTAAGTGAAGAACACTGTATATCTTAAGAAAATGTTATCTAGACAGACTTTCTTGTAAGTAAATTTAAATACTAAATACTAAAATCTTAGTGGTTATGTCAAGCCAGGACACTTCATGATCCGATGCTTGGGAGGAGGGGGGGGGGGGGGCAAAAGTAAACGATATATTCTTCCAACAATCAAATATGTTAATAATGGTATTTATTGTTTTTGATGGCTTTTCATAAAATATGATTTACGTTTATAAATAGTTGTTAATCTTATTTTATATTTCCTTCCTAAAACTCATGACCAATGCTTCCCTGTTTATACCTACTCTGTTGGCAATGTAACTTCAGTTTGCTCAAGTTTTGACCTTGCATTGTTTCGTTGTCGATATATGTGAGATTTAGCTTACACTAAAAAGCAAACTCCTAGACCATGCACTTTCTCAACTCACCCCCTTAAGTTCCCAAAGTCTGATTTCTTTCCCGACTAGACCTATAAAATTTCACGCATCAACTTGTAAGGGAAGACCACTTGATGTTCTAATGGGGTGGGGATGAAGGCTGGCAAAATTAAATTTTCGATTTTTTATTTTCATATTAATCAAGGAAAGATTATTTATTTTCAAGATGACCAAGGACAGACTATACACGTATTTTCATCTTTTCTAAAAGAGTTTGACAATTCCAGCTTGCAGGAAGTGATTGATAAAGGTGAAGAAAGAAAAAGACGTGGAATAAAGAAAGAGGTGGAATAACGAAGGAGGGAGAAATATAAGATAGTACCAGATTATCAAAATCATGCAAATACTTTAGCAAAAATGCTATAGCAAAGGACTATATACATTCAGAGAGAAGACCACCCCCTTTCCAATATCTTATGGACCTGACTTCAAGGAACGTCTCATTGGCGGAACAAGGAATCTTGAACGGGGCCAGTTTGGGGTTGGGGTAGGGGCCCACGGCCATACCAAATAAATGATTTAATAAATATTATGTATATACCCTAGTTTGGACACAAAAGGAGGCCCCAACCCCCTGCCTCCTCTAAATCCGACAGTGGTTGTTAGGGCTTGTCCCGAGACAGTTAGATTATTCTAACTAGTTGTGGGAGGGGGTGAAGATGCAAGAAAAAAATTAAATTTTGGAGAATTGTGGATGCTCCTAAAATTATTTAACGGTTAAAAAGGCACAAAGAGAGACAACTCATTGTAAAATTTAATGGCTAGAACGGTTCGA